GTTGGACTTCATCAAAATTAATAACTCTGTGCTTCAATGGACACCATCAAGATAGTGAAAAGACAACCCACAAAATGGTTAAGAAAAATACTTGCAAATCATATATTTGATAAGAGACTTAAAGGACTCTTACAATCTATAATAATAAAGGTGTAATATGCTAATTAGACTGGATGCTCTTCTGGACGACCTTTCGGACGAAGCCGTGGTGAGCAGGGGCCGAGGCAGAGGCAGCCACAGTGGGGCCCAAGCCCCTTGCATGAATTTCGTGCATTGGGCCTCTAGTTCACTAATAAAAAGACAATCCAATCTTTTAAATGGGCAAAAGATTTGACAAATATAAATTGTCAATAAGCACATTCTAAGATGCTTAACATCACTAGCCATCAGGGAAATGTAATAAAACCCACAATATAAGATATCACTGCATATTCACTAGAAAGGCTATAATCAAATAGCCAGACAAAAACATTTATTTGCAGGATGTGGGGCCAGTCATTTCAAACATTTCACTCTTGGTGGCAAGTAAACTGTCCAGCTGTGAAAAAAAACAGTCTGGTGGTTGCATAAAAAGTTCAACACGAAGTTATCATACAACCTAGCAGTCCCTTTCATAGGCATTACCCTAGAGAAATGAAAATTTATATCCAAAGAAAAACTTGTACAAAAATAATCATAGCATTATTTGTAACAGCCAAAAAGTAGAAACAACCCAAATGACATCAACCAATGAATGGATAAACAAAATGTAGTATACCCATACAATGGAATATTATCTATATATATAAGAGGCTAGCTACCATAATGGCCATAATGACCTAACGACCAGTCGCTATGATGCCCACTGTGGCCAGTGAACAGGCCCAATCAGGGGGTGGGGCCGACCAGCCAACCCCCTGCCAACCTGCCCCTGATTGGACTCTCCCACTCCAATCAAGAATGGGGCTGGCCAAATGCCCCCTCCCTTTCCCCCAGCCCCGCCCCTGATCAGCCCGCCCCACCACGATAGGCTCACAGCCCCTTTCCCAGCAACGACCTGCCCCTGATTGCACCCCCCACCCCAATAGGGGGTGGGGCTGGCTGGCCAAACTCCTGTAGCCCCTACCCCTGGCCGCCCCACCCGTGATTGCACCCCCACACCAATAGGGAGCAGGGCTGACTGGCCAACCTCTTGCAGCCCCTCCCCTGGGCCGGTCACACCCCCTATGGGCCCCATCACCCTGATCAGCCTGCAGCCCCTCCCCCTGGCCGGCCCCGCCCCTGATCGCCCTCCCACCCCAATAGAGTGCAGGGCCAGCTGGCCAACCACCCATGGCCCCTCCCCCAGACCACTGGCTCCCAATTAGTAGCCCCCACTCCATTCATGGGCGGGGCCTACTGGCCAATCACCTGCGGCCCCTTCCCCGCTGGCCGGGCCAACCTCCCTCCATCTACTCCTCCCAACAGACCCAGCCCCAATCTGCCCAGATTGGGCCGGGCCAGCCAGCCAGACCCCACCTGTGCATGAATTTGTGCACTGGGCCTCTAGTTCAACAATAAAAAGGAGTCAACTACTGATGCATGCTACAACATGATGAACCTTGAAAAGATTATGCAAAGTAAAAGAAACTTGTCACAGAAAACCATATAATATATGGCTCTAATTATATAAAATGTCAAGAAAAGACAAACTGATAGAGTCAGAAAGTAGATTAGCAGTTGCCTAGGGTTGAGGGATGTGGGAAGAAATGGGGAGTAACTACTAATAGGCTTGAGTTTCCTTGGGGTGATGAAAATGTTCTAAAATAAAATGTGGGGATGGTTGCATAACTGTGTGAATACTAAAAATCACTGAATTATACACTTAAATGGGTGAACTGCATTGCTATAAAACTGTTACAGTACATTAAAAAAACCAACAACCTAAGCACACTACCTTCTTTATAAGTTTTCCCTAGGGTAGCAGTGCTAATGGAACAAGCAGGTATATATTTTCCCAACTGTAGAAATACTAACAGAACAACAGGATACCTGAGTCTTTCCTGTGATTCTCAAACTTCTAAAGAATATAAAACACACAATTCCCAGAAATATTGTGTGTTGGAGTAAAAGAGCTCAGTTTATTCTGAAGATTTACTGCAGATAAGCCAAACTTTATTTCATCTAATGTAGATAAGGCAGGCTTCAGTGTGGTTAGAGCACTGGCCCGTGCACTGTAAGGTTGCAGGTTTGATTCCTGGTCAAGGGCATGTACCTGGGTTGCAGGCTCGTTCTCCTCATCAACCTGCAGCTGATTCCCAGAGACCACACCCCATCTAATTTGCAGCCTCACCCAAGCTATCTGCAATGGCTTTTCCATATGAATAGCCTGCCCTAGCTTAGGCTTCAGACTCCTAAATTCTCCCAAACAAGCAGCACCTGACCTCAGCATGCCCCATACCTCTGGATAAGCAGCCTTGGCCCTGTACTAGCAGCAGCCTGCCTTCTCCTGGGCATCTCCAAGCCCAACACAAGTAGCAGCCATCTAAAGATGGCTCTGTAACTCATGCCAGGTAGCCCCAGGCAGGAGCTGGCTATGTACCTCCCAGAGCCAGTGCATCCAGTGATCAGCTTCAGACTATGTCAGATTACAACCTCACCACATCCAGTAGCAAAACACTCAAGGGGCAGAGTCAGTGAGCACCAAAACCCACTGAAGCAAGTCCTGCTCCATAGTGTGTCTCCCACACAGCAGCTCTCTCTCTCTCTGTAGTTGCAGCTGGTTCTCACAACCAATTGGCCTGGGGGTTAATTCCTCCCAGTGACGCCAACAGCAATCAAGGCTCAAATACAACAGCACAGTTCACACAGGGATGCACCTAGAGTGCCCAGCTCAGGTGACTGGGAAGGCTGGGCCACTGGGCCCTACAGGACACTAACTACACAGGCCACTCTACCAATTCCAGGAGACATAGCAGCTCTACCTAATACATAGAAACAAACACAGGGAAGCAGCCAAAATGCAGAGACAAATAAACATGTCAGAAATGAAAGAACAGGAGAAATCTCCAGAAAAAAGAACTAAATAAAATGGAAGCAAGCAAACTACCAGATGGAGTTCAAAACAATGGTTATAAGGATGCTCATAGAACTTAATGAGAACTTCAAGGAACTTAGTGAGAACATCAACAACATAAAAAAGGATCAGTCAGAAATGAAGAATTCACTAACTGAAATGAAGAATAATTTATAGAGAATCAACAGTAGAGTAGAGGATACTGAGAATCAGATCAGCGAATTGGAATATGAGGAAGCAAAAAACACCCAATCAGAAGAGCAAAAAGAAAAAAGAACCAAAAAATATGAAGATAGTGCAAAGTTATCCTCTGGGATAACTTTAAGCGTATCAACATTTGCATCATAGCAGTGTTGGAAGAAGAAGAGAGGAAGCAAGAAATTAAAAAACTATTTAAAAAATAGTAACAGAAAACTTCCCCTCCCTAGTGAAAGAAACAGACATACAAGTCCAGGAAGCGCAGAGAGTCCCAAACAAGAGGAACCCAAAGAGGCCCACATTAAGACACATCATAATTAAGTCCTTGCCAGTTTGCCTCGGCCTGCAGACTGAAGGTCCTGGGTTCAATTCCAGTCAAGGGCACATACCTCGGTTGCAGGCTCCTCCCCAGCCCCGGCCCTTGTCAGGGCATGTGCAAGAGGCAACCAATCGGTGTGTTTCTTTCACATCGATATTTCTCTCTGTCTTTCACTCTTTCTTCTACTCTCTCTAAAAATCAATGGAAAAATATCCTTGGGTGAGGATTAAAAAAATAGACATGTCATAATTAAAATGCCAAAGGTTAAAGACAAAGAGAGAATCTTAAAAGCAGCAAGAGAAAAGCAGTTATCTTCAGGGGAGTATCCAAAGGAT